TGTGCTTAACCAACGTCAGAACTAAACGGTAAACTGGTATCTGCAAAACTCAACTTCCATATCAACCATATTAACCAAAATGTCTTGTTATTTTTCTGTCTAAAGTGATCAGGCTAAAAGGGCCACACGATCGCATGAATTTGCATTGCAAGGAATTTCTTTTCTTCCATAAAGAACTGAAAAAGATAAACAAAAACTAGGATTATTATTGGCCAATTTTAGAGAAGCAAGATGGTACTATTCCTCTCTCCTTGCTTGAACTGAAAGAATAATAATTATTGCCCAAAAACTATGTTTAGGTGGTTTAAAATAGAAAATAAAATACAGAAGCAGCTTTATATTTATTATTCTGGTAAAGGCAATACATGGACCTTTCCTATTTTGGTTAGATGATCTGTTTTAAATATTTTCTTTTTTTCAATCGATAGTTGTACAAATAAGTTTTAGGTGATATGTATTCAGAGTGAGCATAGACAATGATATTTCTAATCCACTTATCTTGTTCAAAACTTACAAGACATAAGAAAATATAAAATAACATTAGTTTTTTTTTTTCTTCTTATTTTGAATATATTATAAAGTTTTATTAACATATAAAAGATTAGAATGGATGAGATATAAACGCGAGCATGACGGCACGGCCATGCTTAGACGTTAATGCATGTTGGTCGTTTGACAACCGGCCCAGCAGTTTTTCTCAAAGTACGACACATGTTTAATTTTATTTTATTTTTTTGGCACTGCGAAATTCTGAACTATATAGCAACTATTTTCTATCCATTCGTTGGCAAAAGAAATGCAATTTCTTTTTTATAAAAAAATGTTATTATAACAGAATAGAAATATATTGAAAAACATTTTAAATTTGTAATGCTAAAAGAGTTTAGTCTCAACGGGTCAAATCCTTTATGTTCTTCCACGGTCATACCCAAAAGGTAGTTCGCCAGATTATTAGATATTAAATTCCACGCGTCTACTATGAATGGACAACTGAGTATACATAAATGTCTCACAGTGTTTATATACGATCCCATTCAATAAATACTTCTGTTAGGAATTAAAACCTTAACATTAGACGGTTAGATACATTTCACTCAACCAAGAAATTCATACTATTCATTCATTCATTCTTACATACAGTCACCCAAATAATTGTTTCCACCAGTCTATCAAATCAAATAATGGGTTAAACTATACTTTCATAGTTTATCTTTATTTAAAGTTTCAGTTATATACTGATTTTAATTTATATTTTACTATAATATTTTTTAACTACAATATTTTTAGCAAATTTTGTTATGACATTTTTTTACCGCTATCAAAACTATTAAGTTGGGAAAATAAAATACTAGAGACTGGTGCATTATATACATAATCAGTTTATTTTTAACAGAAAAAATTACTTTTTTTTATAAAAAATTATAATATGCAGTAAAAGTTAAATTGAGGTAACTTGATTCTTATATTTTATTTCTTTTTCTTTTATTAATAGAGCGTATAGGAAAAAAAGTTGTCTATAGTATAACAATTACAGTCGATTTATGTAGTATAATTATTTGGTCAATAGTTGATTGAGTAGTTAAAATTTTTATAATTTGAGTTAGTTTTAGAAATCGGACTATTATCACTAGAAAATTAATGATATATCAATAATTCTCATGATAATTCATTTGAAAATTTAAGTAATTATATTTATTATACAGTTAAAAATTGACTCAAATTATTAAAATATTTTACTTAAAGCATGATAGTTATAACATCTCAAAAATACAGTCTAAAACTATATAATAGAATAATCACATTGAATAATAATACAGATCAGTCTTACACTAAAGAGAACGTATACAAAGAGCTACAAACTTAAACTGTGCAAGATAAGAAATTTTGACCGAACGATTTACAAAAAAAACAAACATCGGACGGTCATACAAAACGAAAGGGAGAAGGTGATCGATTGACCACCTTACAATTAAACTAAACTACTGACCGAACGTCCTACTGTTCGGTCTTCACTTCTACTTCTACCAAATTTTTTCTTCCAGCGCCTCTTCCACCAGCTCGTCTCCTTCTGCTCACATTCACACGGATGATCATTGCAACGACAAGGACGGACGTACAAAACCAGACAACACAGGAAAAACACAGGGTAAGCTTATGTAATTTAATCCAAGTATAAACATACATTTCTCACATTCAAGCACATAAGATACATTTCAACATACGTTTCAAGCAGGGCCTACTACTAGACTGACTGTCCGGACTGTATGAAATCTGTGTAGCTACGACGTTCATGCACCCGGGTGATGTAATAACTGGAATACTCTCATCAGCTGCCACCCGAGGTTAGTCCTATCTGTCCAAAGTACCCCTAAGGACTAGAACATACTAAAGTTCCCACACATGACCTACCCTCCTCTACGTGAGGACGAGTACTCACGGAACATCAGGATGAACCGCCAACTTAGCATAACCACATTCATACTTTACAAATTCAGTAATCATCCATGAGTCGTTCCTCCCTAGAACGCTCGTTCAAAATCCACAACATTTCCATATCACATTTTCTTCATCTTTCATTAATAAGTATCTCATTTAACCACCTCGCACAAAGATTCAGAAGGATTCCAAATAACGAACGTTCAACCCGAACTCAGAACGAGACCAGACACGTAGAGTAAAATTACGAGATCTCAAATTTTGGAATAGATTAAGAACAAGGGATTGATATTGGGTTGAGAAAGATAACGAGCACAATCATATATTCCAAGAAACAAAAGAAACGAACGTCAATTACAACGCTGAGCCAATTTAGATGAACTGATTCTTGAGAACTCCATATGAACGTCAAAAAGACCAGACCAAGAACGAGGACTCCAGAGTGAAACCAATGAAGAAGGATATTTCAAGGCATTTCAAAACTAATACTTAGAATGATTCACATGAAGAGACCAAACACTTATGAATACTTAGTTTAATTGAGTTTGGTATCAAGAAATCCGAATGTCAGTCAAAGACTGAACACTATAGTGAGCGAACCCAAGAGGGCTTGAACGAACGTTCTTATTATGAAGTTTAGCTTAAGAAGCTAGAACGAGTGCCTGGTGTAAGACCAAACACTTGCTTAGGACGAACACTTAGTATAAGATCTAGTGCTACTAAATTTAAAGAGAAGAGGTTTGATAAATATACTAAAATAGTATTGGAGTAGTGTCTAAGAGTAACTAAAATATACAAATACGTATAGAAATATATATGCTTAAACTTATCACGGAATACCAAGACACAACTATACTTGGCCGAACGCCAAAGCATAGTATTACAACACGAAGACGCTCGTCCTCAACTAGGATTCTTTCCAAATGAAAGAATCCAATTCTAACCAAGTTCACTTAGAAAACCGAACGGTCAAAGACCGTTCAGTAACGAACATACACTTTCTTAGGGGAATTTCATATTCAAAATTCATATATATTCAAACTCATTTCATAACATATAACTTCATAACTTTCCACATTCATATCATAATCACTTTCATATTTCATAACATCCAAACATAGATATTTCATACATTTCATGCATCAGAACATAGCACAACCATATTTCATTTCCAGTCATCAAATCAACGAACGTTCATACAGCACAGTAAACATACATATTAAATTAAATAAGCTTCCCTTACCTCTGAGCGTGAACGAACGTCCTACAGACCGAAATTCAGTTCGCCGAACTACGATTCCTTCTACCCTCAACGCTCAACGACTCTTCGAACCAAAATCAAACAACAGACCAAAATGGTTCAGAATGAAACTAAGAACTCATGCAACCAGAACTTGGTTTGCATGTGTACAAGAACGAACGGCTAAGGACAAGAAGAACTTACCTATTCAGAATTCGAAACTAATCGGTTCAAACTGAAGCTTGGGACGCTGGAAGTGCTCCTACGATGCCTGAATGGAGATCGGAGTAAAGAAAGAGTGAGTTTTGGTAGAGAGAAGGGAGAGCTTTTAGAGAGAAGGAGGAGAAAATGAAAGATCAGAGTTTTGGAGAAGAAGAGTGAATGAGAGAGTGTGACGCGAATTTCAGAAAAATCAGTTTTGTTGAAAACGAACGTCCGCTCTCCTGCTGACACCTGCATTCCACTATCTGATTTTCGGATCCTCGTTGCTTGACACCTGACATCCGTTCAGAGGAGTTTTTGGGTGTGTTTTTAATGAGCTCTGACAATAGTACTTCTTGCCGATAATCTACCATATATAAAATAATACTATAGTAAAGACTTAGATTACCAAACAATTTAAAAATTGTTAGGAGTTTGGTGTTGAGGAAAATTACTAGACATTTTATATCAATTCAGTACCCAAAGAAAGGTTTAGCAACTTACAAGAAAGAAAGGTAAAATAAATAAAAATAAAATACAGTACCCAAAGAAAAGTTTAGCAACTTACCAAAAAGAAAGTAAAATAAATATATTTACTTTTTATAAACTAATGTTGTTTTATTTGAAGACGTTACAAATAAATTAGTCCAAACAACCTACGTACGACATTTAAAAAGGAAACAATATAATATAAAGTTTACTGATACAGAAAAATTCAGATGAGTTAAATTTGAGAGGATAGTCATACTGCACTAACAAAATTTTAATCTGAACCTATATCTAGAATTCAATTGTTACCAACTCCACTAACTTTATCTGCTGGTATATACTACATAATAGTATGCAATAAGGTTTGAGCGAAGAAAATAAAAAATGTATAAGACAATTGGTGACAGGAGGGTGGGTGAAAAAAACAAAACAGGGAATTGCGAGTGAAGAAGAAGGTGTTGCAAAGGCGCGTGGAGTTGAACGGGGAACAAAACGAGACGTCCAAATCTCCGACACTCTAACTACAAAATCCAAGTATTCCACTCTTCTTCAGCAACTTCCATTATCATTCCCTCTCTTTCTCTAACTAAACTCACTTCATTTTCTCTCTCTCCACCATGACTTGACTTCACCAATGGGCTTTCTCCGTCGAATTTTCGGCGCCAAAAAACCCTCAGACTCCAAACCCCCCAAGAAAAGATGGGCCTTCCTCAAGCCTACAGCCCGGAACAAGTCACTCCCACCGCCACCGCCCCCTTCTGCCTTCAACGCCCACTTTGATTCTTCCAATCCTTTGGACGCCAACAAGCATGCCATCGCCGTCGCCGCCGCTACTGCCGCCGTCGCCGAGGCCGCCCTAGCCGCTGCGCACGCCGCAGCAGAGGTTGTCAGACTCACGAGCGGCGCCACCGCCGCCACAAGTACCAGCAACAGCACAAGACCGGCTGCCGCGGCGCGTGTTAGCCAACTGCGGTTGCCGGAGCAGACTGCCGCCGTTAAGATACAATCAGCGTTCCGTGGCTACCTGGTAAGTTAAAAACAAATACCAAGAATTAGAAAATTGTTTTTCTTCATGGTCATGTTTTTTTTCTTCCGAAGTTTATCTGTCTCGGTTTATATTTTGTGTGAAAAATATTCTTCCACGGTCATAACTGACTTAATTTATTTGACTATTTTTTTATTGAAATGGAATTTTTTCCACGGATTTCCTCGGGAACAAACGATGGTCAAAATTGCTTATTTTTGAATAATGAGACTTTTTTTTAATCTTTAAATAAATTTTTGAACTGAAAGCAACCTGTTCCGGGGACATAGGTATTGGTCCCCTTCCACCACCACACCCCACCTTTACTTCCTTCCAAAATCCTATATGAATTCATTGTTATATAATTAATTAAAGACTTCTTTTTATTTTTTTATTTTATATAGTAAGATTCTGGAAAGTATTTGTTCTCTCTGTCCTCTCAGAGTTGGATACTGCTGCTGAGTGCTGACAATTTACTATATGTATATTATCTCATCATACTCAAATTGCAGATTCCTTTTATTTTTCTATTATAACCTTTTCGACACAGTTTACGTTTGACTAATCATAATTTATATACTTACATTTGATGAAGAAATTCATTTTTTCCTTTTCTGGTCGCATGACATGATCATTTCTTTTGAATTATAAAAAATATTATTACATCTTCTTATCACGTGCTGTGTACAACATTTGATTCGATTTATTGCTTTGAGTCATATCTTCAATGTGCGTTTGAGTGGCTTATCTCATGAACTTTGGCTCTACATTTGGAGAATGTGACGTTGCTCTCTATTGAATATATAGTTTGATTGACAACAACGAACGACACTTTAGATAAAGTTAATGAAATTATAATTAGGAATAGCATGAAATGGAGAGTGGGAAGTTGCCCTGCCTACCCGTTTGAGATGGGTAAAGATTTGCAAGTGGGAAGCAAGGTTAAAGTTTTTTAAGAAAAAGTTCCGTTTTTGGAATTTGAGTGTGTGGGGGACTGAAAAGAGGAAAATGGGACGTGTGTGAATAGCATAAGAGTGGCCCACATAGTTGGTGAATGGTGAGTTATGATAGTTACCTTTGCAAGAGGCAAAGTAGAATGACCCTCTGCCCAAAAAACATCAAAGGTTAGTGGCCCTGTGCCAGCCCATCTTCAACCACATCTAAGCTCATGACCCTAACTACTCATTGGTGGGGATAGCCATTAATGTACTGTAATAGGAGAGAGAGAAGACCAAGTTGGTAACCACTAATCTTGTTTTTGCCCTTCTATGAGGGGAGAGTATTTCTGATCATGTCATTGTCTTGCCATATCAGAAGAGCAAGACACCACTCCTTCGTGACAAAAAAAGGGGGTTTTCACCTTGCTTTAAGATAAACTCATTCTAGCTTTAATCAGAAACAAGTAACTCTAGTTAAGTTCTTTTGTCTGAAAAAGTTAGGGAGAGAGAGAGAGAGAGAATGATGTTGCAATATTCATTGGGCTAATGAACTTAACTACTTTTACCTTATTGGCTTTTCTACTGCTGGCTATGCTAACCAAACCAAAAGGGAAATTTAGCATAGGATGATGCAACAAATTATTACAATAATTTTTACACAAGGATGGTTTTCAGAGGAAGGAAATGATCTACTAAAAATAAAAAACAGGCCTTTAGATTCAATTGAACCGTAAAACTTTGCTGGAAAAGAAAGGAACATGATTATAGGATGGGTTTTCACGGCGTGTGTTTGTTTAATAATGACTGTGCATGTGAGATTTCCTGGTTTAGAAGGTCCCAAACTAAACATGTAGCAAACATGTTTTATTGGATTTGGATTTTCTCCTTCATGGAAATTGATTTTGTTAGTGGTCCTCTCTAGTATGGATTGGGAGAATGTGGTAGTTATAGGATGGATGGTGTGTATAAGAATATGATGGAAAATACTTGAGAAAAAAATAATAATCTGTTTGGATGAAATTGGAAGGCAAGGAGGGCATTGAGAGCACTAAAAGCATTGGTGAAGCTGCAAGCATTGGTTAGGGGCCACATTGTGAGAAAGCAAAGTGCTGATATGCTGAGGCGCATGCAGACATTGGTGAGACTTCAGGCCCAGGCACGTGCAAGCCGTGCGCACTTGTCATATAATACGCCTTCTTTCAAGTCTTCCCTTTCTCACTACCCTGTAAGCAAACACTTTCTCTTTTTCCATTTCACAACTGTTTTTTATTGTCGTTTAACTACCAACTTCAATGCTACTATGTACTACGAAAGCTGAGCAACCCAAATTGTAAAATATGAAGCTGCTTAGTCTAGTATGCTGTTTTAGGTTGAACTAATGAGGATTATCTGTTTAAAAGATTGGGTTCTATTATTGCTCAGCAAAGAATGGCTCACAACCATTAACTTGTCTGATTGATTTTTTTTTTTATTATTATTATTATTATTATTATTATTTATACTTACTTGTAGGTCCCTGAACAACATGAACACCCACCTCGTGTCCTGAATACAAAATTTGATGGATCTTCTATCCTTAAGGTGCACGATTCTTTCCCCATTTAAACACCACAGATAAATAATATCTTTACTTTTTATGAAAATACTATTTTCTTTTAAAAGGCCCCCCTATCTTATTATGATTATATTTCTTCTAATAAAAAGGGCTGCATGCATTGCTTCTTTTAGTCCCTTCAGTAATGTTATTTCTCTCTCCTTCACAGTATTAAATCAACACACAAATGTATTTATTCTCTTTCTTTTGTTATTTGTTAGGCACTAAGCTTGATCATGTTCCTTAGAATTGAAAAGAAATGTTAAATGAATTTAAAAGAAAATCATCATAAATTATGAACCACTTATAACAAGTTTGCTTTAAGCTTAGATTGACGCATTGGACCGGTGTTTGAATCAGTTAGGTGTTGACATAACTTGAAGAAAAGTGTTCCACTCTTAATTCTCTTTAACTTCAATAGCATTTTCTGTTTAAAACTTGCAGAGATGTAGTTCCAATGCCAACTTTAGGAACGTTGACTCAGAACGACCCCGGTTTGATTCAAATTGGTTAAACCGTTGGATGGAATTAGATAACAAGTGCAGGCAAACTGGAGATGCTTCATTGAAAACTGGACGCCCAGACGATGATAAAAGTGACAAGATTCTCGAAGTAGATACTTGGAGGCCACACTTCAAGTCTCACCACAGTAGCAGCTCCTTTCAGACAGCACATTATTATTTGAGTTCTGACTACAATAATGATAACTTTATGGCACATGAGTCTCCATCAAAACGTTCGGCAAAGACTGTAAACCAAAGTTTCTCATCAAGGGAGGTGTTGCAGCTGAACTCTCTGAAGTTTCAGAAGGGGAAAGAAGAAGCGACTTCAAGAACTGCTGACAATAGTCCACAAGCTTTTTCAGCCAATTCTAGAAATGGAAGTGGTGCAAGGAGGGGTCCCTTTACACCTACCGGGAGTGAGTACTCCTGGGGTTTCTTCAGTGGCTACTCGGGTCACCCCAATTACATGGCAAATACTGAATCTTTTCAAGCCAAGGTTAGATCACAAAGTGCACCAAGACAAAGGCTGGAGTTTGACAGACACAGTTCCACTAGGAGACCTGTTCATGTGGTGGGGCCTAATTCAGACCAGGATTCAGATTTAAGAAACAAAGTCTTACCTGCTTCTAACACTGTCAACAGAATTGGGAGTAGTAATTTAAGGTGACTTTGAGTGTTTTATAAGACAATCTTCACTTTCTTCCATAAAATGAAGAGACATATTTCCTCTTGTTTGAGTTTTTTGTGTGTGGCAGCAGTCGAGAATGTAATTATATATTTTACCTGTATTCATATAGTCCATACACCATTATTCTCTCGTTGTTGACGTCCAGTGTGTGGATGTGTAAATGATGACTTGCTTTGACTGTTTGCTTAGTGGAGTGCATGTTTTGAATCATAACTTACATGGAATTAACCACTTCATGTAATTAATGATGGATCCTCGCAATCATTTATCGTTAGGGACAAATGCTTGGCAGTTGGCACATCATTATGTGTACGACAAAGACTTCCGTTTTTTTAATTCAGAAAGGGAAAATGTTAAGTTTGATTTCTAATAACACTTTTTTATTAACTTTACTCTTTTTGTAATTAATGTACTATTTTGCGGTAAATGATTCAGAGTACATTTGTTTTGTCAAATTACTTTTGATATGATAGTAAGTAAACATAAAGAATGGTATTATATACTCACTTTTAACTGATTTATGTTTGCAAAATCAAAGTTGATTCAAACTCTAAAACATATCTACTACGTAATGCATTAAGTGATCTTACCGCAGAAATTTTTGGAAAGATGTTGGCCTGTGGGGTATGCACTTTTTCCTTTGAACGCTAAAGCTTTTATCAAAATCCACTAATCTGGTTTTGCTTCTTTTGATGATTTCATCCCTCTATTACAGAAAACGGGTCCAGGTACACATACCGTTTTTTCTATCAACTTGTAAAGGTCTTCATCTTTTTATAATATATATATATAACTTGCAATGTAATTTTGTCTTCCCTTCAAACGTGAGATGATGTATCATAATGGAATTAGCAATCATCTTATTTTCTCTATAATTTGCATGGATGCAAGTTTGACTCCGCATCCTTCTTCCTCTTAGTATCCCATTGTGCATCAAACAATAATTTTTACAAAACCTTGCCTGAGGGTTATTTAAAGAATAACTGTTGCTTTTATTTAGTATTCCCATTTTGATTTATTCACTGTGAACTCACGGAGATTAAATCTATGCTTTCTCAGTAGTTTGGTCTTTCGGTGGTCCATTTTGTCAGACAGGGACATGAAACAAAAGGACAAAATAATTCATATATGACAGCATTATTCACACCTTTGGATCTTTCCCTTATCTTGTTCTGTTCTAGTTTTTGTTTTTGATGAGACTACGAATTGGAACTGTGTCCTTGGATGCTCACCTTAGGCCATGCAGTTGAAATCAAGCGATTATATGCAGCTGTTTCTGAGAATAATTAATGTACAACTAATCTCACTTAGACACCCTACTCCTCCTTTTGTAAATGCTTTTATCAAATGCCTACTTATAATGCACACGCACTTTCCTTTTCCTGCTTTTATAAAGTGTGACCACCTTCATTATGCCAAAATCATTAGCTTTTCTCCACTGATGCAAAAGTTGTAAAGGAGTAACAACTTTGAATTGAATTGAACCTTTACAATAAAGAGGTCAGATTTACTGTTAGCGGATTTCTCCTGAATTAAAAGCAAGAGAGAGCTCGAGTTTTATGGTTGACATCGGTCATTATGAATTAGTTGAACTGATCTCACTCAAACGTAAAATACTAGAAAAATGGGTGCAATAAAACTTTGGAACGACCTTAGCTTCAAGTATCCAACGACAACCACCACCCAACATATTGGTGTGGGGACATAGCAATGTCACTAACATGGCTATGAACATCTGCCATGGTCACACCACATATATTCATATATTTTTAGTGACTATTAATGGTGGTAGATGAAGACCTTCTTCTATCTTATTTAAACATGAACTCTAAATGGATTATTATACGCCAAATATGGTATAAAAGTATAAACTATACTTATAAAGTTATAAAGTACAGTCTGTATTAGGATCAATATTGAATCCGAAAGAGATACCACATAAGCCTGGTAAGATACCAATGGCTGAGGCATTTGAACTGAAATTGTCAATGAGGTCCATTAAACACCTACAAACATATTGCCTATTATCAGCAGTGTTGGCAATATTGTTCACCCCAGACATAGCATCACAACAAGGGGACCCTGGAATGGGGTCTGGGGTGCCGTGGGTGATGAACAAGGAGCATGCTGAGAAAAGCTGAGTAATTATGGAGCATTCTATAAATGAAGATACAATTGGAGCCGAGGACAACAACATCGCCAACCCAATTATTCTTAAAGCCTTGTTGCATCCCACACAAAGTTCCATCACAATATGCTTCTAAGGAAGACTTTCTTTTCCCCCTATTGCCTTTCCTTAAAGAAACTAAGTTATATGATATATAAGAATAACATAATGGGTTGGTGTGCAATGTGAAGCATGTGGTTTTACATGAATTTTCTATGAGCTTTGAGACATGCATGACGTAACCATTTGAAAAGATATCATGGTCCTAGTTTTATTAATATTTACAGAAGCAGTAAAAATGAAATGGTGTCGTGGTGTAGTTGGTTATCACGTCAGTCTAACACACTGAAGGTCTCCGGTTCGAGTCCGGGCGACGCCACTTTTACCTTAGTTTTTCAACTTTTTAATTATACTTCTGACTAATGAAGAAAGTAGATGGGCTAAGTTATAAGTGTTTTTTTCAGAACCCCAATTGAACTTGTTAAGAAATCCCCGTTTGTACCAAAGTAATGGGTAAGCCCAACCGAGTGTACAGTAGAAGTAATGAACAGCTGGTAGTCTTTAAATACAAACACAAATTAGGTGAACCCAAAAGGGTATAGTTAAAGGAATGAGTGGTGATTCTGGTGAGACGTCAACCTATTTATTCTCACCAATTGCTTTACTACCTAATTTGTCTTTTTCTTAACACATTATCTGTTTGACGGATATTTTTTCTGCTTATTGCTTCTTATAAAAAATTGAGCGTTGGCCATAGTTTAAATTCCACGATGCTTGTACCAAAATTGTCTTCCTTCCTTATGAACAATGATAATTGCTTCAGAATTCTCGAATTTAAATTCCAAGTCCATGATTACTTTATATTCATATACAAGATGGAAACTGGGTTCATATACAAGTTTCTTTGTATATCACATACTATATAACAAAGAAAGAAGTTAGCATATATCCATAAAGGCAAACCAATTATTTGAAGCAAAAAAGAAAAAGAAAGAAGGAAATGCACAAAACAACCAGGTTTCTGTGAGCTATGGCTATACACGTAAAAGAACTTGCAAGTGAATATCGTTTGCCCACTCTGACTTAACTGCCATTGCTGCATTCCCATTTAGAGGTCGGGACACATGTTAGGTACCGACACCAATGGCAGTGATCATACCCTTTCTCACCCCGGAATAGCATCACCAATGCAATTGTTAACCTGCCATTCAATAAAAAATCAGTGATTTTAGCATGTATTTGTTTAATACATTTTATGCATGAATTCATGAAACTATTTAATGACTTACAGGTTTTCTGGTGTCAACATAGATAAGATGTCAAAATTTATATTGATGTTTAACATGAACTTATTTAAAATTCACCTGATTATATCGACATGTAAAAAAGACATGTAAAAAAGACAAGAAAATTGTCTAAGACCGTATACTATACTACATACCAAATTAAAACAATATATTAGTTCTATTCTATCAATTATAGAAAAATCCTTATCAAAATAACAACATTACTGTTGAGGGATATAAGGGAGGAACTAACCCTGCAGCCAACAGAACAAGAGACACTATCCATAAAACATATTGGTAAGCTTTGTACTTAGACTTCAAACGCACACCGGCAGGAAGTCGACGCTGCTCTAACCATCCAAACTGAGGACGAGGCAACAAAATAAAACCTAGGAGAAATCCCACCACGAATCCTCCAATGTGAGCAAAGTTATCCACGTGTGGCAAAATGCCAATGCCAAGGTTGATCACAATGATCACTAGAAGGGTGAGTAATGCCATTGCCTACAGAAAAAGGCACAAGAATGAGTCAAAAACAAAAGTTGACATTTGCCATATTAATCTAATTTAAAGGAATGGTACTAATTGATGACAATGAGCCACAGTGTAAGAAGATTTTATGTGTCTCTCATGTTGAAGAAAACTGACAAACATACCGAAAACCATAAAGAATTAACTAGACTCACTTTGTTGGAATATATAGTCCAGTTTGTGATAAGTTCAGATAGCATTGCGCCAAGAAGTCCAAAAAGGGCACCAGAAGCACCCACCGAAGTGTGGTCTCTGATAAACAGACATGACAGAACACTTCCACCAAACCCAGACACCAGGTATATAACTCCAATCCTCACTGCCATGAATTTGACAAAGGAAAATGTTAGGTCCATGTACAACCTAAACATTGACCAAAAGAGAAACTAAACTAAGTTTCGTAGGAAGCAAATGATAAACTCAGAAGTTCTGTTTTACTGATTTTACGTGAGATTTTACTTTTCTGCAAGAAAAACATACCAAACCCGAATTGCTGTTCCAGACGAATCCCAATGAATACCAGACTCAACATGTTAGCAAGCAAATGAATAATCCCAGCGTGTAACCAAATGCAAGTGACAAGTCTCCATCCTTGATGCCCGTTCACAACATTATCCCACCGAAGGGCTCCCATCTTGGTCAATCTTCATACGTCAATGAAACATTTGAAATCAATAAATTTTCCCAAGAACAAAATAGGCTATCATTTGAACTGTTACAAGAACTGTGCATGCAAGTTACAATTACAAGATTGGAAAACCCACACCCTCATTGCTGGATAGATAAATACTTTGCTTTGGCCCTTTTGGTAGAAGTGTACAACCAAGTCAAGAACCCGAATGAAACAAGTCAGCTGCAACCATTTGTAGCTCAATATGTATCCAATAAAATTCAAATGTCGATGAATATAAAATCCCATTTCACATTTCTTAAGAATGACAACATGAAACCAGTCAACAAAACCAAACTGAGATACAAAAGGGAAAAAAAAGAAAGAAGAAAAAAAGCGTTTCCTGGAGCATTCAACCTGAAACAAAGTACAGGTCCAAACACCAGTTTTCAAGAATCCTTGAACCTTACATTGTTTGGCCCTTAAAAAGGGTGATGGAGAAAGCATTATAAAAAACTTATACTGCTCTATCATACAATAATAAAGAACGAAATTTAAAAGAATATAACTCCATAGCGTTGTGCGTTGTGGCTAATTTTTTAAGACATAAAAAATGACATAGTCCTAGCCAAGTCAAACGGTTGTTAATCACAAAATGCGCCCAACTTTCTCAGTTCAGTTGAGGAACTTGAGCACGCAAAGAACCTTTACGTTTCACCCTTCTCGGCTTTCTTTACTTTCCTTCAAATGCACGAGTAATTATAAAATATCCAATGAAAGTGTTACTCTGTCCATAAAGGGTCTTATTAAGGATACGATGTTTTTAAAATCAAAACGATTCCCCAAAAGATTTTTTTTTTTATCTCTTACTTTACTTTAAGTATGATTACATCTTATAATCGGCACTGAGATGAAAAAAATCAAATGAGAAGTGTGGATATTCGTCGCAAAAGTAAGAAAAAGATGTCATCGAGTTCGCCAATCTCTACCAAGAGAACAGTTCAGAAAAGGCAATGAAGAGTGAGTCGTTTGAAATTTGAAATTCATCTCATAGAGTAAACACAAAAAATTACCATAAAGCACTCGCTTAGCATGCACAACATATTTAAGAACACACCCAATTCACTAAATTGAGCAAAATTTTCCAAAGAAGACAAAACCAATAACAACCGGGGGGAAAAATCCCAAATTGGGTTCTATCCAAAATGAGACCCCAAATAAAAGCGTATCAAAATTCCCCAAGAGAAAGGAATAATAAAACCAGAAACGAAAACAATCAAATAAATAGCACATGGTATTAAATAAAAACAAGTCATTGAACTTACGTTGAAGAAGAAGGACCAAGCAACGGATTCTCCTGCATAGGTTCGAAGGAGAACCTTCCAAGGAACTTGGCCACGCAGCCACCTTGGAGACCGAGATTATTCTTGGGACAATTGTTGATGTACATGGAAACAACAAAAACAGCAATATTAGCAACCACAAACATAGGAACCAGCCATGATGTCCAATGGGTATCAGCTTCGTAAAGATTAGAAGATTCATGCGCAGTGTAGTTTTCCTCTGTTCTGTTGTTCTTGGTTCTCCCACCGCCACTCTCAAGATCTCTTCTGGCCATAATCTCTGTCTCTCGATCAAACCCAATTTCCAAGTCTCAAACTTTATTCTGTAAGGATGCTTTATAGGAGAAAAGAAAGAAGTGGAGTTGGTGAATGGGTATAAATTGGGGAATGAGGGGGAAAAAAGTACAAGTTAGTGGGGTGAGCCATTTCACTCTGTCATTCGTTGCTAACCGCCACTGTAAGAACTTCGCATTACCCACATCAAACTATTTATTTGAGTTTCTGATCAGTCCCAAAATTTCGATATTTTAGTTAGATAATGATTCCACAAAATATATAAATATATAAAGATTAAAAAATATATTTATAATAGAATATTAACAGGTAATAATGAAGATTTTTTATAATATTGTCAAAAAAATAGTCCAACGAAAGTCATCCAAATTTACGCAATTTTGAACTGATTGGACTTGGGACGATGTGGCAGGTTTTGGTTGGTAGATAGGTTTAGATATTGTGATGGTGGGAGCAGTGGATGAGTTTTGTGTTAAGCACTGATAAGTCATGTCCATATAGACCGAAATAGAGCATGAACGGGTAAGTTGCAATTAGGAATGGCAACGGTTGCTGCGCTGGTTTGGTTCGTTATTTCATACTGATTATACTTTTCTTACCATTTTTATTAATTGATTATTTTTTATTAAAAATTGATATTAATAGTATTAAATATTCAATACAAAAATTATATATTTTCGTATAATTAAGTATCATATATTAAAAAATAAATTATAATTAAATTTTAGATTAAAATGTCAAATAATAATTGAATTAAAATAAATAAAGTATATAAAATATTTCACAATCAATTTTATGAATCTATCCAATTTGTAAAATTAATAAAATAAAATTGATTTACAAATTGATAAAGTTAAAAAATATTTTTAAAACATTACAAAAAAGAAAATAAATATTTAAATTTTAAAAATATTTCAAACGTTTTTTATTGATTTTTTTTCTTACATATAGATAAATATTATATTAAATTAAATTGAAAAAGAGAAATAAAATGATAATAATTCAGTTTTAGATGTAAATATTTTCTCTTTTGAACTTGAATCTATTTTTAAAAATGTAGGAAGAATATTATTGGTTTGAGGGATGAATATGTCTTCTTATATATTTCATATTTCTTGATATTGATATGGTCAGGATAATAGTTCAAACTATAAGAAGTCCGAATAGATCATAAAAAAGTAATATTAAACCTTCAAAAAAATAAAGATTTTTAAATAACTATAAAAAATTTTAGAACAAGTTTAATATGGTGAAGAATTTGATTATTGAATTTTGATTTTCTACTTGTGTTGCATTGGTTTACTTTTTTTATCCATATGTATTTCTTAATTTTTTTTCATCATGGATATTTTTTTTGCATGTGTTAGATATATTTTTATTATGGATTCGACAAGGTTCTCTCATGTTTTCGGTTCTTTTTTTTTTCTTTCTTTTCAATAAAATTTTCATTTTAAATAAAATATCAGAAAAATATTTTTAAATATAAATTTAAATAAAAATAATAATTATAAATTATTATAAATAAATTTAATTTATTTAAAAACTAAATTTAAATGAATTACTTTAAAATATAAATAAGAAAAAATAAAAATACTTAATTTTCATGAATATAAATGAAAAATACAAAATATATCAAATTAAATTTCAAATAATTATTTATGATATATATTTTTTAGTGAAATTTTTATTTAAATTAATTAATTTAAAAACATTCAAATAAATTTTACTAGTTGATAATTAAATATTTTTATATGTTATTCACATATAATTATTAAAGATATATAGTCAACATCTGTTAGAAAATTTATTTATAGATATTCATGTGTATTGATTATTTTATCATTCCTAATTCGAAACTATTTACATTACATATTTATAAACTTTTTTTAAAAAGTTCTTTGTGAGAATCCTAAATTTTTATGAAAATTTTATATTAAATATATTTTTGAAATTTATTAAATTAAGATTATATTTGTTAACCAAAACCATCTAATAAATTTAAAATGGAGTGTTATGCATTAAAAACAAATTTTAGGAGACATACATTAGAACATTATAATCAATGTCCTAAATACAATATGGAGAGAGAATTTTAGATTGCAGCATCGACATGATTTTTATTAGAGCCTGTCCCAAAAATGTAGGCAATCGGTGCGTGAAAACAATCACAAGTATAATTCCACGGATTTATTGAGTCCTATTTCATTCTTCAAAGGCCGAATAGCGCATTGGATCTAACATTCTCTGACTCGGGTGTTCTCCCTCCACCATCACCACTTCTCCCTCCAACTCCCCAACCTTCTACAAAAAAAATTTAATTACAAAAATAATTTTTTTTATTTTTAAATTTATTTATTTACTTTAAACTCAAACTCTATCTTTCTATCCATTTTTACTTTTCACTCAACCACATCTCCCAACTCTTCTTCTCTCTTTTTTCAGATTCTCACCCCAACTCCACCACATTCGTTTGTTTTAATTACAAAAATATTAATATAATAAAATTATATATTTCATATAATTAAACTAGTAAATAATTTTTTATATAATTATAAAATTGTTAAAGAATACAAAAATCATATATAAAAATATATATTATACAAAAACATTAAAACAAAAAACTAATTATATATAACTGCAAAATACAAAAAAAATATAAATATAAACTAATAACAATAAAGATCTTCAAAAATACATTATTAAAATATATCAAAAATATATTAAAAAATAATACATCAAAACATATAAATTACATTATTAAAATATCTCCAAAATTAATATAAATAAATAAATAAAAATAAATTAAAAATAAACATGTAACTTTAAACGGATGTCAACATCCGTTTAAAGCAAAACGGATATCGACATCCATTTTCCCTTAAAAGGATGTTGACATTCGCAGAGAGATACTCACATCTGTTTAAAGATTATATGTTTATTCTTTTAGGGTTTATTACGCACCTTCACGACGAATCCTTCAAGCACCACCACACACCGATCTTGGCACGGTTGATCAATTGCTTCCACCACCACTTGCAATCTCTCACTAAGCACACCAGCTAATGAAAGTTTACCACACTCTGAGACCACAATTCTATCACAATTAAAAGAATGAGAGGAAGAAGTGGAACGTGAAAAAGAGGAAAAAGAGCACAATGAAATAATGAGGGGACGAACGATAAAGAGAAAGAAGAGTTGTCGCTGCATACATGTAGAGGATTGGAGTGGGTAGAGGTTAAAAAAAACTATTAACCCTAAAATTTTACTAAAGGTAAAATATGAATGAGAAAATAAAGAGAGGGGTAAAACATGAATAAAGTGGTGAAGGGAGCAAGGGATGGCAATGGAGGGAGCAACACCCCTCTGACTTCTATGTGCAAAGTTCAAGCCCACATCTTAATCGCAAATTTTTAATTATAAATACCACAACCTAACAAATGTATAAACAAATATTCCATAACCAAACAAAAGGCAACACTTAAATAACTAAACTTAATGAGTGATGAAGCAAACAAAGTAATGTTAAGAAGGTTTGGCCTCACAAATTTGTGTACATTTTACCAATGTATACTGGGTTTTAGTAGACAAAAATACCTCATATATTATGGATTCTAAGTTTTAAGGCCAAGCATATTTGAATAATTTTCATTCTCAAAACTAAAAAAAAAAACAAAAAAACCCCAAACCCTTACTCAGCTCCTTCATTCCTCTCAATCCTTTCTCTTTCATCTCTCTCACCCCAACATTTTCTCTTTCATCTCTTACAAAAAATGATTTTATAATGAGTTTTCATTTTATAATTTTTGTCTTATCTAATTTTCACAACCATAATGACATATGAAGGAATTGGTAATTGACTTGGAAAAAATCATAAATACTCGTGATTAAACAATTTTGTTACAAAAAATGATTTTATAATGAGTTTTCATTTTATAATTTTTGTCTTATCTAATTTTATCTAACTTTCAAAAGCATAATGACATCAAAGGAATTGGTAATTGCATAGGAAAAAATCATAAACACTCGTTAAACAATTTCTTACAAAAAATGATTTTATAATGAGTTTTCATTTTATAATTTTTGTCTTACCTAATTTTATCTAATTTTCACAAGCATATTGACATCTGAAAGAATTGGTAATTGGTCTGGAGGGTTGTTTTTAGAGANGATTGGAAAACCCACACCCTCATTGCTGGATAGATAAATACTTTGCTTTGGCCCTTTTGGTAGAAGTGTACAACCAAGTCAAGAACCCGAATGAAACAAGTCAGCTGCAACCATTTGTAGCTCAATATGTATCCAATAAAATTCAAATGTCGATGAATATAAAATCCCATTTCACATTTCTTAAGAATGACAACATGAAACCAGTCAACAAAACCAAACTGAGATACAAAAGGGAAAAAAAAGAAAGAAGAAAAAAAGCGTTTCCTGGAGCATTCAACCTGAAACAAAGTACAGGTCCAAACACCAGTTTTCAAGAATCCTTGAACCTTACATTGTTTGGCCCTTAAAAAGGGTGATGGAGAAAGCATTATAAAAAACTTATACTGCTCTATCATACAATAATAAAGAACGAAATTTAAAAGAATATAACTCCATAGCGTTGTGCGTTGTGGCTAATTTTTTAAGACATAAAAAATGACATAGTCCTAGCCAAGTCAAACGGTTGTTAATCACAAAATGCGCCCAACTTTCTCAGTTCAGTTGAGGAACTTGAGCACGCAAAGAACCTTTACGTTTCACCCTTCTCGGCTTTCTTTCCTTTCCTTCAAATGCACGAGTAATTATAAAATATCCAATGAAAGTGTTACTCTGTCCATAAAGGGTCTTATTAAGGATACGATGTTTTTAAAATCAAAACGATTCCCCAAAAGATTTTTTTTTTTATCTCTTACTTTACTTTAAGTATGATTACATCTTATAATCGGCACTGAGATGAAAAAAATCAATTGAGAAGTGTGGATATTCGTCGCAAAAGTAAGAAAAAGATGTCATCGAGTTCGCCAATCTCTACCAAGAGAACAGTTCAGAAAAGGCAATGAAGAGTGAGTCGTTTGAAATTTGAAATTCATCTCATAGAGTAAACACAAAAAATTACCATAAAGCACTCGCTTAGCATGCACAACATATTTAAGAACACACCCAATTCACT